ATTTGTTTTTATTTTTATTTAAGAAAATATTTTATGATCCTTTAAAATAAACGGTTTCAGTGTACCAGTATAAAGTGTACTTGCTATAAAGTAGAGAATTTTTTTTTGTAAAATTTTAATTTTGTTAATTTTAAATTATAAAATAATATTAATACTTTACTGGTTTATTTGAAATTATTTACATATTGCGTAATCGGATCGATTTCAAGCACTTGCAACTTAAAATGTAAATTCAGCATTGCGCACTTTTGTATTTAAAGAGCCAATAAAGACTTTCCAAAAATAATGACTCAGGCCTTTTTTAAAATTAGAAAATTAGAAAATTTTGTACAGACTTAGAAAACGCGATGTGAATTTCGAAAATTCACAATTTTTGTTCTTTTATATTTTTTTTTTTATTTGTTATTTCTAAAATCACATAAGTATACATATATATATACATATATATATGTAAAAAAAAAAAAACTTTAAATCGGTTCTTCATTATCCACACTTACCTTAGTGGGGAGTTAGTGCTGATGGCACTGTTATAAGGATCACTTAAATCAGCCACTTTGTTAATAATACAATTTTTCTTGTTCTACAGTAATCTTATTTTGGTACGCGCGTTCCGTTAAAAAAGATCAAAGTTGAAGATACAACCGAAAAAAACTGAGGAAAATTTTTCACATTTAACAAGCGATCGAACATATGAAGAAGCTAACGCTTTAAACCTTGGACTAAAATTAAATTAAAATGAAATCACGCCAAGAAGCTGTAGCCAAAAATACGAGATCTAAAGTAGAATAGAATCTATGGCCAAAGCGATTTGTCTCAGAGAATATCTGTGTAGCATGCGGAGTGCGCGAGAATACCAGGAGGAGAAGCCGTACTAGCACCGAACTAAAGGTAACAGAAGCGCAGAGTATGAATGGATAAAAATCAATTTCAAAAGTCTGATTCTCGACAATTGCAACGACGCCGTATATTCAGAGATGGTGATGTGTGCCGTACGAAATTATGGGGTGTATAGTATCTTTGTGTACGAGTGTATCTGTGTGTGCTGTATAAATCGTTGTTTATCTTTAAAATTGTATTTATTCTCAGTGAAACACTGCTTGGACGTTGCCTGTTGAATGGTTCAGAATATAAAGAATCAAGTCATATGCTTTTGGTTCAATGTTGCTACGAATTTTTTTGTTGTGTCTGTTTACGATAATGATGCTGCAAATGATGAACAAGATAATGATTATGATGATGTTGATGTTGATGTTGAAGATATTAGTGCTGTGCTGCATAGCAAAGACACAAAGACAGATACAAAGATATTGGAGACGTACTTGTGCTATTTTTATCAGTTCGATATAGATTCGAGTAGCTTAGGAGAAGCAAAATTATTGCATAGCATAAAATAAGCAAATTCAAAGGAAAACGTTTTCGAAAACACGGAACTAAACACAACCCGCAGATACAAGATACCGAATGAATACTGAATTACAGAAGCCAACTCAAGTTGTGTGTGAGCGCGGCGCGGCAATGATGTAAAATTAAAATTTTATATAAATTTTATTCGTTATATGAAAACGTAAGTGCAACAAAAATATACAAAGATTTTTATTTGATTTGGTTTACACAATTTAGTAGGAGCGAGTAAGATCATTTTTTTCGTGAAAAATAAAAGAGGCTAAATTGAGAAAAGAAAACAGATTTTTGGTATCAAGAATAACTTTGAATACTCAGTAGACAAAAAAAAAAACGTTTATATATACTATAAATATATAAATTAATTTTTGTTTTTTAATAATTAAATCGCAAAAGTAAATATATATATATATATGCGGTACAAATAATTCATGCAAATTTTTAAATTATTTTTGGATAATTACTCGAACATTTTTAAAATTATTTATTTAGACTGATTTTGTAAATCTTTTTTAATGTCCAATAAATGGATGATAAAAATTTGTTAAAATCGGTTTATTAAAATTTTTAATATTATTTTTTAATACATTAGTATCTAAGAATAGTGACTACTACTTAATACTACACTTGTATGTAGTACTAACTTAACTAACTTAAGGAGTAATACCAGCAGACAGAAATCATAATTACTTATTTTTTAATATTAGTTCGGTATGGATTTTTGATGTAATATTAATCAAATATACAAATAAATTTAAAAAATTTTTAAAATTATAAACTTATTACAGTAATTTAATCTTAAATTCATAGTTTTAAATTGCACAAGTTATTAGAAAATTTATATCGAGAAATTATAGATTTTTTTTGAAACCACCGATAAATTCATTTTGGGGGTAGTTACATCCATTGTATAATAACGTGAAACACCTTTCTAGACTTGATCTTTATTTAAAACATATTTCTAAATATTATCATTTATATTGAATGAAGACTCTCCATCGAAAAACCAGCCATTAGGTGGAAAGCTTATAATAGCAATTAGAAAAAATATCGAGAATTTATTGATTAAGGAACGCAAAAAATTATTCGGAAGTTGATCTCTCCAAACTATAAATGATAATGTGAATGATTAAGAAATGTTGAATTGTTTCAATTATAACAAATTTGTTCAAATGAAAGCAAAAACATCGTAGACATTTTTTTTCGAGAACAAATGTCTATTTAAGCAGCAAACTACATTCCATTAAACCATTTGTAAGTAGACAACATCAACGCATGAAGAACTGTAATTAAGTAATGTATTGCACTTAACTTTACTTTACTGTCAGCCCTCATACTAGATTACCTATTAACAATCTTCATCATAGCTTTGGATTGAGTCGTTGGTATTAATTGAAGATTAAACGATTCTGATGAAGATCTTGCATTGGGTAATAACATTGTATTACTATTTCAGAGACGTGAACAGTTGCAGCCCAAGCTATATAATCTGTTTACTGAGTCGGCGAAAATAGGGCTAAAAATGAATATCACTAAAACGATATCTACTTGAATTACACCATCCAACAATACCAGGTTAAAGCCGAAATAGACGTACGAAATTGTATATAAAAAGTTCAGGAAAAGGTAGCGTTTGCAAGGAACTTAATATAAACAGGAATAAATTGTCATTAATAAGTTTTTAACTGAATATATAAAAAATCATATGATTATCTATGAATATAAAAAATGCCGAAATTTGATTTAAATAAAGGTAATTCTGAAGATTCTGAATAATTCTGAATAGAAACTTAAAAGGGAAAACCCAGAACTGGATTTAGAATAATTTGCAAAATTGGTACAACTAAGTTTTTAGGCTGTTATATAAAAGTTAATTCTAGAGTATAACAAACTAGATGAGTACGTGAACTTATATATTAAAAATAGAAAGTATCTTATTGTAATGTGGTAAACATTTCAATCCCATTAAGAACGTAACTCAAATCGGTTTTGCGTTTAAAAAACAGATCAAAATACAGATGACAATACAAATTCTTGAAAAAAGATTACGGATGATGGTCAGTAATTTGTAATTTAATTGTTGAGAGTATAAATATGGATAAGGATGTAAAATTTCATAACGATTTGCAAGCCTGAACACAAGAACTATTGACGTCTACCGCATTTTGTGATAAAAGATAAATGAAGTAAACTAAAAATATCTACATAAATAGATACTCTTTAGAAAAGACATGTTAATTATGCGGCAAAAGCATTAAAATTTCAGTGACATGAAATAAATGTAACTGAAATATTGTTGTTGAAAAAAGTTACTATCCAAACAATTATTTTTATTTTTGCTTATATAAATCTGAATTTTATATACTCTGTTAAAAAGAGAATTTCTATACTGTAAAAATTTGATAATTTATCGATTTTAACACAAAACGATTAAATGAAATTTACAGGCCATCCAGTTCCAAGATCTAGACATTAGTTACATAAGACGCTTTACATCTTACATAAAATAGGATTACATGAGATCTTTATATTTCTTACGATAGTATTCTTAAATATAGCTCTTAACATGAAAGTATATATTGTTTGAAGTCTGAAGAATTTACGCATCTTAGATCTTACATTTAAGATCCGAATCATACAATATTAGTGAATCCAATCTAAAATTTCTTACATTATGGAATTTTTAC